ATATGTAGAAGGTTCATTATCATGTTGTATAGTCTGTTCTTCAAAAAATTTTCTAAAACAAGAACCAATAGTAGTAATATTATCTTCATTAATTGGTAATGCCAATATTATATCCCAAAATGGTTCATATGTATCACTGAATTTTCCACATTTTAAACAATTAATTCTACTTCTAAATTGTCCTGATATTAAATTACTTATTAATGAATTATTTACTTTTAAATATTCATTCCAATATACTAATCCAGGTCTAGTACTTTTTTTACTGATTTTTTCTAATTCATCATGTGTTAAATTTTTTTCTTTTGTTATTTTTTTTGTACCATTATGAATAATTTCAAGGATATATATAATAAATTCATGAGCATCTTGTTGTTTCTGATTGAATAAATTGGGATTTGATTGTTGTAATTGCTTATAAAGGTTTTGGGTTTGTATAGAAATATTAGATTTATATAATTTACTTATTTTATGTAATATATCTAAAAGTTCTCTACATATATGTTGAGTTGATCCATTATTCACTATAATACCATGTATATTTGAGAATATATCAAGATTTACAAGGAATTGTAATCCTGCATTCATATAACAAGAATTTCCATAATTCCTTAATCCAGGTGGTAATAAACTATTAAAAAGTATTTCAGAATCATTATATCCCGGTGTTATATTACCCATTTAATATAGGATGAAGAGATAAGTTCACTTATTAATTAAAGTAAACTAGTATATAAATATAACCATACTACTTCTCTTTATAAGTATTAGAATATGAATATTCTCTCTTTAGAATAATTTTAATTAATAGTATCTCTTATATATTATTATAAATAAATAAATAGTAGAAATAATTAAGATAATACAAAGAGATATATTTTAAGAAGTGATGGTATAAGGTATAATACCAATAAATATTTAAATTAATACCTCACATTGGCGCTAAATAAATTTGGAACATCAGCGCATATATATTAACATGTTTCCCCACAATTTTATTATTATTAATAATATAATAAAATAATAGTAAAGATATAAATAATTAATTTTAATATCTGATTATAGTGTTAATATACTCTTTTAGTTTTATCCTAATATAATTTTAATACATATTTATATTTATAATTTACTAATATTGATATTATAACTAAAATGTAAAGGCGCGTATTGTACCCCCCTTCCCTCTTAAACATGGTAAAAATTAATGAGTATATATATATGGAATTTTATAAAATGAAAAATATAAGAAACCTTCTAGCAACGCTAATAAAATCAAATGTATATACACTACGTGAATATTGTGAGAAATTTATTAATTTTGATACAACATTTGGAGTTAATAATTGGATAAATTTAGAAGATCAGCTAGAACCTTTAGATGAAGATTTATATAAGTTAATAAATTCTTCAATAATAGTTATAGATCCATTAATTCCAAATAATTTGAAGGGTGGTTTTAATAAGATAAGTCAATTATTTACATATAATGAAACAGAAGGAATAATTAAACATCCTTTTATAAGAGTATATTCTAGATCAGAAAATGTTAATATAAATTCTAAAACAGTACCATTATCTATATTAACAGTACTAAAGTGGGCAACATTATTAGTATTACATTATTTTAAAAATCCTGTGATTCATTATTTAAAGAATAGTAAGAAAATACCTGTATTATTCTCAAAGGATTTAAATAATTTATACTATTTAGATTGGAATTACATTTTATATTCAATTTCAAGTTATAATAAATTGAAATATATTTCTGAGGAAAATTTTGAATTAATTTTATGCTATTTTTTTCCAAATTTGAAAAGATCTTTAATTGTTGATAGTTATCAAAAATTTAGTCTTGCAAGTCCACTAGATGAATTATCATATATACCACTTATTGATCAAATATCTGATGAGATTACTTGGCAAAAGTTACTTGATAGAATTGGTCCAATAAGTATGATATATATATTAGTATGTTGTATATTATATAGGAAAGTTTCTATAGATAAAAAAAGTAAATCTCATAATTCAAAAGCTTTTTCTCAATATATTCAATGTAGTGGGAGACTTTTAACAAATGATTATATTGATGAGTTAAGATTATTAAATAAAGTTGGAGTAAATCCAAATTTATTATCAGAAAAACAAGAAATAAGAGAAGTGTCTATAAATCGTAAATTAAGGATTAGAAAAAGTATAGAAAATAAAAATAATGGTATATTTAATTCAAATATGTCTATTTTTAGTATTGAAATACCAATACAATGTAATATGATGTATAATAATCAATATCCACGTAAAGGTGGACTACCTTGTCAATCACTATTACGTTTATTACCTCCAAATGAAATAGGAGCAAGAATATTATTAAAATTTGTATTATATTCTGATTATCTTCTTTCAGAATATGATCACAATAATACTATGAATATTCTTAATGAATATATAGCAAAAAAGAATATTAGAGTTCGATGTTTTATTGCTTCAAATTTATTGGATTCTTTTCAGAAATTATTAGAAAATAGTAGAGATATTTCTACATTACGATTACTTGCGCAAATATGCCCAATTTCTTCTGAAATTAGTAAATTAAAATTATCGAATATAGCTAAACTTCCTGTTTCAGAATATGAAACTTCTAATACAAATGTAATTAAATTTCTTAGATATATATTAAAGATGATAGTGCCTCGAGAATTGTTTGGAACTAAAAGTAATTTTAAATATTTTTTAAATAAGAAATTACCTGTAATTGTAAATTTACATTCTAGAGAGACTTTAAAAGTACATCAAATAATGTCAAAGATAAAAATATCAAATTGGGTAAGAAGAATTTATACAAAATATGAAGAGAAGATTAAGAAGAATATTCAAGACAATAAAAAAGGAAATAATCAATATAAAAAAAGATATAGATCTATGGTTACTATTGCAAAAAGATATTTAGCTAGAATTATATATTTTATTATTACAAGTATAATTGTTCCAATAATAAGAAGACATTTTTATGTAACAGATATTGAAGGAAGTAGTAAATTATGCTATTTCCGTTATCCTACTTGGATAAAAATTGTTAGAATTGCTGATTTGCATTTTAAAAAATCTTCTATGATAGAATCTGAAGATAATTGTAATTATTCAGAAATAGATATATCATGTGTTGATAATATTCCTAGATTAAGATGGATTCCTAAAATTCGTGGTTTGAGACCAATATTAAATTTATCAAGAGCTGGTTCTGGTATATATTTATTAAAAAATTTAAATGAAACAAATTTAGAAGATAATAAAAAACAAAATAATAATGGAAATTTTTCTTTTTCACCTTGGATTGGTGGAGATACTCCTGTTTCTTGGATGAGTTCAAATAATCGTTGGAGATCTCAGAATTATGAGAATTTTCAAATAAAAAGTAATAAATCAAATCAATATACTTATTCTAATACAAATAATAATAAATGGAGACCCTCAAGTAATAATACAGTTGATTTATTACGTCCATCAGCAAATAATGTATTATTTTATATAGCTAGAATAATTAGAACATATTTATTATATGAAATAAATTCAAATTATTCTTTTCATAGTCCTACCTTTAATTTACTTGGATGTTCAATTATACGTTATAGTGATATACATAAATGTATTAAACATTGGTGGAAATATAATGTAAACAAAGGATTAATTAATAATATTACAACTAGTTTAAATTTATATAAATTTAATTATAATTTATTACCAAAAGTCTACATGGTAAAAGCTGATTTAAATAATTGTTACGAGAATATAAATCAAAATAAAATAATTGAAATATTAGAAGGTATATCTTTACCTACTGAAATACCTTTAATTACAATATATAACAGGATTTTATCTCAAACATATACACTACCTCCATTTGAAAATATATCAACAGGTATTATAGGTATAAATGAAAATTCAAAACCTTATTTTTTGACTTCTAAAGGTAAATTAAAAACAGTTCCAGTAATAGAATATGAAGAATATAATTCAAGATGTAATCAGAAATCATCAGAAAATAATTTAGAGAACTATAAATATAACAAAGGTTCAAATTCATTAAATAAAAATTCACTTCATCATGTGATAAGTCAAAATATATTTATACCTACTATAAGTATTTTAGGATGTGGAAAGTGTGGTTTCTTAACTGATTTAAGTTCAACTCGTACTATTAAGTGGTCTGATGCAATTAAATTACTAAAAATTCATCTGAGTTATAATCTAATGAAATTGAGGACATCTACTAGGAAATGGAGAATAAAAGGTAGGAAGAAAGCATCAATTAGGCATGTTGTTCAACAAAATCGTGGCATACCACAAGGATCAGTACTTTCACATTTATTATGTAGTTTGTATTATGGTAGACTTGATAATCAAATGGATGTTTTAAAATTATTAAATATACATTATAATAATGAATTAAATTCAACTTCTAAAGTGGAAACGTTAAGTATTTCTAATAATAAGCGAATGTTAGCTGATAACTATTTAGAAGAGAATAATCAACATTCTTTTCAAGTAGAATATAATTATAACCAAGACAATAAAATAAAGAGAATAAAGAAAAGTGCAATAAGCTTAGATACGAATTTTCGAACTGATGAAAGAAATATAGAGAGTATTTATAATAAAGAAAATATACCTAATGAGGCTAATTTAGCTATTGGTTTTGATGAACTACAATTTACTAAAATCCTAGAACAAAATAAATCTACTTTAAATAATTATAGAGAAAAAGATAAGAAATTTGAAGATAAATGTGGAGATTTAGTTATAAATAATGAAGATTATATATACAAAACAAAATCTTCACCTAATCTATTATTACGATGGGTAGATGATTTCCTTTTTCTTAGTACAAATAAATCTAGTGCTTTGGAATTTTTGGATATATTATGTAACAAGCATACATGGGGTTCAAATTTAACTGAGGATAAAATTACAACAAATTTTAAATGGAAAGAAAACACAGAGAGTGAAATATGTGACAGTGTTACCTGGGCTGGAATGAAATTTTCTTCTGATCCTAATGGATTAGAATGTATGCCATTACCATGGAAAAGTGTTCATCATATTAGTATAATGGATACAATATCTTTAGTTATAATTAATAGTAATTCTAAGAATAAATGGAAAAATATTTTAATAAATCCATTAAGTCAAAAGGGTAAATATATGTGGTCTGTAGTAGGGGTTAGGATAATGGCATATCTAGATATGAGAATCAGAAATGGATTAAACTTTGATATTGAACTTAATGCAAAAGATACTGTAAGTTTACAGTTAATATTAATGATAAATTATTTATAATATATATATATATTATTCAAATAAACTTGTTATCTTTAGGTTTACAAAAATATTGCGACGATAATGTATGTTACAACTCTTAAGTTGTTGGCTACAATTAAGAGAATAAAAAAAGTTCACTTCGGATTTATAAATCCGAAATTTGTTCTTAGTAAGTTAAAAATAGCATATTTTAATTGTAAATGAATTAACTATAATCTGCATCAGAAATATTTGAATGGATATCACAAGGGTGTATATCAAATATAATGTTACACTTGAAAAATTCAAGTAATTTAGAGCTAAAGTTAAGTGTAAAGTGTGCAGTATATGATGCAATATTGACAGCTATTAAGCCTAGATGTAATTCATTGGGTCTTGATATGACATTTAATAGCTTTGGGAAAAAACTAGCAATAGCCTCAAAAATTCTTAAAGATGAATTTTCTTATACTCCACCACAAGTTAGTAGTATAGTAACTTCTCAATATTCTGATATTCCAAAATTATATCGTAATAAAAAGAGGTTAAGAAAAGTTACTTAGAAACTTATAATTTCAATGTTTAGGTTTTTTTCTTTTAACTGTTAAGTATGACTCGAAGCAAAATTTTAAATAGTATATATTATTATTAATTTTTAACAATTAATAAGAATTAATTATAGTTTTAATCTATATGTTTTACATCTTTTCTAATCATTAACACAAGTTTCAAACTTCCCAATATTTATTGTTTCCTAAATCTTTTCTTTCCACCAGTACGTTTCTTTAAATTTTTAATATGACTTCTAAGTCTTCTCATCTTTACACCTGCATCTTCACTACGTTTCTTCCTAATTAATCGATCTTTAATAACCATCATCATTGGTTTATTTCTATTCTTTACAATCTGGGGAATACTTTGCTTCTTACTTTCAGATTCTAAAAAAATTTTAAATAAGTTAAAGTTAAATAGATCACAAATTTTTAGAATTAAATTATTTATACTGTAAGGGTATCATCAAATGTTTTAGAAAGCATAATTCCTAACAAAGTGATAACTTCCCAAAAGTTTTTTTTGCACTAGACTCAACAACCTTTCATGAGTCACTGACTTATAACTTAATAAATACAAGGCAGCCGGCTTATTGTGCTTAAACTTCTATATATAAAGTGAATAAAACTTACCTCTCTTTCTTTTTTCTTTAAATGATTCTCTATCTTGGCGTCCTTTAAGAATACTAGCAATTCTCTTTTCACGGCTCTGTTTACCTTGGAATTTAAAAATTTGTTCTTCAGTTATAGATGAGTCTTGATTATCTTCATTTTCAGATTCTGAAGATTCTGATAGATCTGAACAAATAGGTATATTATCTTGTTTTATACCCAATGCTTCAGTAGCACCAACTCTAGCCTTTAGTTTTTTAATTAGTTTAAAGTCTTCTTGTCCCAAAATCTCTTCAGTTGCAATATTTAAATTACTAGATATTTTTTTGTAAAGATCAACTGAATTTGAATCAATATCAGAATATTCAGAAATTCTATCATGATCATATTGTAATTCTATATAATCTTCATTATTATTGTCGTCACCATCATCACTGTTCAATTCCTCAAGATCTTCTTCATATACTTCTGATTCACAAACTTCTTCATCTTCATAATCTTCTTTATAGTCATCTTTACCCTTAGTTCTTTTCTTGTACAAATTTAGTAATTCTATACCATCTATAGAAGTCTCCAAGTTCAGTTGTCCATATTGCAATTCTTGTACTTTGCCATTTTGCAAATTAACTGCGGCAGTTTTATTTAATAAAGAACGGTGAAGCATACTTGGTGCAATTTGTCTATACAAATTAATTAAAGCTTTTGCTGCTGATGAAACACTCTTATTATTCATTGTACGAAAACCTACAAGATCAGCCAGTTTATCTTTATCTAATGCTTGGGGAATCCTTTGACATATTTCACGTATATAATTTAAACCAATTGTAATTGCCTCTGGACTTTTACATTCATTTACAAAATTATCCATCAAAGTCTTAATGATAATTGACAATTCTTCTGGTGGTATAAGTTCATGACATGCTTGTGATAAATACGAAAGTATTGATGTCACATTCCTATTATTAGGAGATAAATATCTTGCTAAAAATGTATAAAAATTCAATACTATTAACTTATGTCTTTCAATCAATTTGGATATTAATTCAATTAATACAAGGCGTACTTCAAATGGATCACTATGACGCCCTACACGTCGAAATAAATTTTCTGCAAATGTTTGTGGATCAATAATCATATCAATACATTGATTAATACTTGAATTATCCTGTAATTTCTTCTTATTAAATTTCTCTGCTTTTTTTAATGCAATCTTTGCCTTTTCAAGCTTTTTCTTCTTACTTTGACTGCTCATACCTATTAGTGCTGATCTCATTGCACGATTTGCTTCTGCAGTCATTTCTGTTGCTTCATCATCATCTGTTTCATTATCAAAATCTTCTATACTCCAATATTTACCTAAAATAAATCTACTTGCAGTAGCTACAATTTTTGATGAATTTGATTCTATACAACAGTTAGCAATAATATTAACTGTTATTTCATTTTTCCAAGTATTCTGTCTATAAACTTCCATTAATATTGCCAGAGCTCTACTAGTATCTATTGAATTACTTAATCGTTCTCTTAAATTTTTCAAGATTGTATTATTGAATTTTGATAAATTAAATAAAGTAGATTTATTATAACAATTGGGTTTTATATTAGATGATAAACCAGTAACTATACTCAAATTTGATGTTGTAGTAAATGAAGTATTTATAATCTTCGTTTTTATCATTTTCTTACGTCTCATTTTTGAGGACATAGTTTTGTTTGCAGATATTATACAAAGTGTTGTATGCTTCAATAACTTACTACGTAATGCACGATCTGGTAATCTCATTAGATCAAACCATAATGGTAATAAAAATAAAATATCAATGATCCTCTGATTACATAAAAGTATCAAAGATCCAACAAAAGAGTTTCTTATTCCAGGAGATAAAATAGATCCATTTTCTTTTAATTCAAACACTAATTTATTAATAAATACTTCGCATATTCCCTGTTTTGCATAGTAGGGAGATGTATGAGCAATAAAAATAGTTAATTGTAGAAAATCTTTAGGAATATTTCTAGGATTTAATCGAAACATATCTAAAGTTGAGTAAAAATGTTGTAACTGTAGCTCAAAATCTGGCCAATAAGCTCCAGGATCCTTCTTAATTCTATTTTGTAATTGAGGTAGTGAATAAATCTCAAGTGTAGTATCCATAATATCTTATAATCTAAATCTTTATCCCCATATATTTTAAAAAAATCCTGAAATTCCCAAAAGATAATTTCAACTTTCTTTTAAATAAAATGTCACTTAGAGAAATTTAATATACCGTTACAAATATTAAAGCGCCAAATTATATTTTAACATTAAACTATTCTAGTAATATTAAAACTAATTTTCGAAAAATATATGGGCAGAGAATTATTAATTGGCTATTTAGAGAAACCAAGTAACCAACAAATATTATGTCGTCAATATTTTCCATCAAAATATGGTGGAAAGCCTGCATGGCTAAATCCTCAGTATTTACCAAATGCTAAAAATTTAAACTGTGAATATTGTGGTATATTGATGACTTTTTTTTTACAGATATATGCACCAATAGATGATAGAGATGATTTATTTCACCGTACAATATTTGTATTTATCTGTGTTCACTGTAGTTCAAGTATTGTGGCATTGAGGTGTCAGTTACCCAGAAACAATCCTTACTATGATATAAATCCCCATCAACCTCCTATTGAATATAATGCAGAGATATTTCATGATGAATACTCAAAATTAAATTGTAATATATGTGGTTTACCTCTAGATAAAATATCTCATGAAGAATTAAATCATACTCTCTGCATTAGTCAAAGCCCAAAGAAGTTGATATTACCAGAATATGAAATAGTAGTAGAATTTGGAGATGATTATCAGTCTTCAGATAATAAAACAGATAATAGTGATACAATCGATGATCAAGATGTATCTGAAGAAGATTTAAGTGAAAAAGTGGAATGTCGTGAATCAACTTTATTATCAGATTACTATAAAAAAATATTACATGATCCAGGTAAGTAAAGATATCATACTAAATATACTTTGAATTTAATTGATTACTTTGGGGATTTTGTTATTTCTTCTTAGATAACGATTTAGATGAATCAGAAATGAATGCCTTTAATGAAATACAAAATATGAATGTCAACGATTATGCTTTTGATGAGTTTATAAGTTGTTCTAAAAAATATAGACAACATATAATCCGATATAACTATGGTGGAGATATATTATGGTTTTCTGATCATTCAAGACGACAAAAAAATGTACCAAAATGTGATAAATGTGGTGAAGACCGTATATTTGAATTCCAAATACAACCTGAAATTATTATTTTGGGACATCTGCCTTCTACAATTGATTTTGGAATAGTCTCAATATATACCTGCTCAAAGAATTGTACTTCAGATAGTACTGCATATACACAAGAATATGTATTTATACAAGAAAACCCATATTAAACAAAGCAATATTGTCAGTTTATAATTAAGCGGTATTTTTTGACGCAATTGATGCACTCGATATTGAGGGTAAATATTATTTAGCTATATAATAGAAAATAGGAACCCTGGAGAATAATAAAACATATATTAGGTAATTGATTAATATATATAGGGAATAAAGACGATCATATAATTCTTATACAATGGGTTTAGCTTTATCAAGAATATGGAATCGTCTATTTGGTAAAAGGGAAATGAGAATACTAATGGTCGGCTTGGATGCAGCTGGTAAAACAACGATTTTATATAAACTTAAACTTGGTGAAGTAGTAACAACTATTCCAACAATTGGTTTCAATGTAGAAACTGTCGAATATAAAAATATATCATTTACTGTATGGGATGTAGGTGGTCAAGACAAAATTAGACCATTATGGAGGCATTATTATACTAATACTGATGGTTTAATATTTGTTGTTGATAGTAATGATCGAGATCGTATTAATGATTCTCGTGATGAGCTTATGAGAATGTTAAGTGAAGATGAGTTACGTGATGCATGTTTAGTTGTTTTAGCTAATAAGCAAGATTTGCCGAATGCGATGAGTGTTACAGAGGTAACTGAGAAGTTACAACTTAGCTCAATAAGGCATAGAAATTGGTATATTCAATCAACATGTGCTACGACTGGTGATGGTTTGTATGAGGGTTTGGATTGGTTAGCTAGGAATCTTGAAAAAATAGCCTCGTAGAGGGCTTAGTAACAAAAATTGGTAATTGATCACTATCATACCTCTTTTAGTTAAGACTTTTTCACCTTTTTTTTGGTTAACAGTATAATATTGATTTGTTAAATTTTAATTTAAGATCTATAAGTAATAATCATTTTATTTACTTTGGGATATTTGAAACACAATGATTTGCACAAATTATTAGCATCTACAGAGAAATATCTAATAAAAGTGTAAGGCGGGAATATATTGTGAAGCTGTACAGTTCCGTTTTATACTTATATTAAAGAAATAATAACTGATAAAATGGAGAGGCTTATACCAATAACTAATAGTTTACAGGAGATTTTGGAAATTTTAAGTTTAGGAGCTTCTAATGAAGATATACATAGTGATAGACAAGTATTGACTATAGATCTCCCACAAATTGCTGTAGTAGGTGCACAATCTGTAGGTAAATCATCTTTACTTGAATTTATTATAGGTAAGGAATAAAATTTTGGTTTTATATCAGTAGCTTTTTTAATACTGATTATTTGGAGGTCTTTTTTTTTATATTAATTATAATTATATTTTGCAACTCTTAGGTAGAAGATTTTTACCTAGAGGCAGGGGGATAGTAACAAGAAGGCCACTTATATTACAGCTTCAACAGATAAAGGATAATCAAGATGATTATGCTGAGTTTGGTCATAAGAAAGGAAAAATATTCACAGATTTTGATTTAGTGAGACAGGAAATAGAAAATGAAACAATTCGCTTAATTGGAAATAAAAAGTCAGTATCTGCTACACCCATATTATTAAGAATTTTTTCAAAAAGGGTAATAAATTTAACTTTAGTTGATCTTCCAGGTTTAACAAAAGTACCCGTCGAGGGTCAACCAATAGATATAGATATTCAAATACGAAAAATTGTAATGCCTTATATTCGTCGTTCAACATGTATAATATTAGCTGTAACTGCAGCTAATACAGATATTGCAAATTCTGATAGCTTAAATGTAGCTAGAGAGGTTGATCCAGAAGGAATTCGTACAATTGGAGTATTAACTAAGATTGATATTATTGATGATTATAATAATACAATGCAAGTAATTAATAATAAATCTTATCCTTTAAGGAGAGGCTATGTTGCTGTTATGTGTAGAGATTTAAAGGAAGAACTATCAAATTCATATAGAAGTATAGATGAGTCTATTATTGAAGAAAAGAACTATTTTGAATCTAATCCACAATTTAAAGATATTGCTTATCGTTGTGGGACTACATACTTAGCAAAAATGTTACAATCTACATTATTAGAATATATTAAAGATTCCTTACCTCAATTAAATGAACAAGCAAATAAAATAATTAGGGATAAGGAGAAGGAATTAGAAAAATATGGTGAAATTAACCATATGGATATTTTAGGTAATTTTGGTAAGTTGAGAATACAAATTAATAGGTGATCTTTAATCTTTTGTTAAATACCCTTGAATTTAATAGAAACCACAAATCTCTCTTTTCCTTTTTTATAGGTAGCGAAAGTTTGACCAGAATATCTATGAATCCATCTGGTAATCATTTAGAGGGTGGTTTGAACAACAAAAGTGCAATAATATTAAATTGTTTTTCTAAATTCTCACGTAGTTTTCAAGATATGATTGATGGACAAGCATCCTATCATACTGGTTTAATTAAATTATCTGGGGGTGCTAGACTTAATTATATATTTCATAATTGGTTTGGTCAAACATTATTTAATTTTGATCCCCTTTCAGGTTTATCAGATAGTGAGATTAGAACTGCTATCAAAAATTCAACAGGAACGAAATCATCCTTATTTGTACCTGAAGGTGCTTTTGAAGTTTTAGCTAGGATACAGATAGCTAAACTACTTCAACCATCCTTGACCTGTGTAGAACAGGTATATCATGAACTTAAAAAACTTGTGGAACAATGCAAATTGCCAGAAATGATGCATTTTTATAATTTAAAACGAAACATTACAAATGTAGTAAATAATTTATTAGATAATAGTCTGAGACCTACAAATGAAGCTATTATTAATTTAATTAATATGGAATTAGCTTATATTAACACAAATCATCCTGATTTCATTGGTGGAGCAGTTGCTTTATCTAATATTTTTGATAAAAATATGCAAAATATAAAATTAAGTGAATCTAATGTATTAGACCATGTAATTACAACTACAAAAAATATCACTAATAATCTAAATTGTGATCTTCAACATATAAATACACCAACATACAAACAAGATAAAAATATTGAAAATTTCTTTAAAAGTGTATCTGAACCTAGTAATTTAAATCTAAATAATGTGGAAATAGATTCAGAAAATGGTAAAAGTACCTTTAATTCAGCTAATCCATACTCTGATAATAATTCAAGTACACTATTTAGTACTATTTCAAAGACTTTAAAAAATATTGCAAATACAACAAATCTTAATACATCTAATATAAATAATGTAATATATAATAATACAACTATAGATCATATAGATATTTCATCTAATACAAATAAATGTATATCCCTCAAAAAAAGTGTATTTAACCAAAATAATAATGAAGGGAAAATTGCATTACCAATTGTTCCAGATATAGTTGCAACTTCTGAAGATCCATCTGAACGTGAAAAAATAGAGGCTGAAATTATCAAATTCTTCATTGTTTCATACTTTAATGTTGTTCGCAAAAATATTGCTGATTATGTACCAAAAGCTATTATGTACTTTATGGTTAATACAATTAAGGATTCTATACAACGCGAGTTAGTTACACAACTTTATAAAGAAGAGTTATTTGACACCTTACTTAAAGAAGATGAAGTAATTATTGAAAAGAGGCATAATTGTCATCAATATATCCGTGAATTAAGGATATTTTGCATCAATTAGATAATTTAGTGTCAAATACAGATTCAATACATTCTATTTAAAAAGACAAAGTAATATATATATTAAAGTTGAAATATCTCACTCATTACTAGTCACTTTTATTTATCACTTATAGATGTATCTTTTTCTACAGTTTTCAATAATTCTTCACAATAAAAATCAATTTGTTCTAAATTTAATGATTGTATCTTGGTATT